GGGCACGGGGGGAGCGGAGCAGCAGCGGCGGCGGGGTGCCGCGCCTCTGAGGCTTTGCTCTGGCAAAGCCTCAGAAGCGCGGGAACCCGCCCGCTGCTGCGGCTTCAGTCGCGGTGCCTGTGGTCTGCTGGGGACGGTCCAGAGCAAAGCCTCAGAAGCGCGGGAACCCGCCCAGTGCCCCTGGTCTGCTGGAGACGGTCTCCAGCAGACCAGGGGCACCGGAGCAGCTTACGAACGGGGCTTTCTTGCCCCGGAGCTCGCAGGTAGCAATCTGCTACCTCGACCTCCGGGACGAGAAAGCTCCGTTCGTAAGTGCGGATCCGACGTAAGTCGGATCCGCGTAAGTCGGGGACTGCCTGTATAACAATGGCATACATTGGTCACTACAAATCTGGTGCTACTATACGTGACCTCTTAGAAAACAATTCATGGGCATGCTGGCTCTGACACACAAACTTAAAACTCTAAACATCCCACATTGCCAGTCAACTAATGAGCACCACCTATTTAACTTACATTTGCAGCTCAGGCTTTATTGAGCATTTTCCTGCAAATTTGACTTTGTAGTCTTAGTTTGTTCTCTGTATTTGTACTTTGGAAAAGAGGCCATCCAAAAATAGCACACTGACTATTCCACAGATACTTTCTCAAAGTCTATGACTCCCTCACCTTCATACATTGCCAGCTAGACATGTGTACAGCAGAGACAGCTCAGCACCAGTTGCTGCAGCAGCTGAAAAGATGGTGCCATTTATATTTGTGCTTAACTTTGATCTTAAAATGACCTAACCTATTACAACAGTCAAAGCAGACCCAACACCCTTATTTCCACAGGGTTCCCAAATTCATCTTGTTTTGTGAGTCTGTGGGACATGTACCGGTTTAGAGATTTTGCTTCTATTTTAAGTGTGGTGGCTTAAGGCCATATTTAGAAGGATGAGGCAGCTGACAAGCTCCAGATACTTCAAAATGGTTGTAGCAGCTGGCTTTCCCATGTCTGGTGTGCATTTTAGGAACTCAGAAAAGGTCAGTCCTGATCCATTGGTAAATAAGGAGAAAACAGAGGGAAAGGATTATGCCCAAAATTGCAGGAGAATATTGTGTTTCATGCAGAGACTGGCACTTTAGTTTCCCACAAGAAGGTTGCAATCATCTTGTTGGCTCTTAAGTTTTTTCTTGAAGATGGAGATGGAGGTGGAAGGCTTGTAAAATATACTCCAAATCTCTCCTGCAGTAATTGCTTGGTGAGAATCCGTTATCTCAGAGAAAGAAGGTGCCCGATGAGATCTAAGAAACAATTATTTGACAGTTATGATCTGAACAACATGCTAAATTGTTTGGCAAACTGCTATTGTTAAAACGACAAGGAGTACTATTGCACCTATAATAAAGATATTATAGACTTGATATTTATTGTTACTCTTCTATGATTTGTCTTGGCTCCAAATGAGACTTGGGCAGCATTATGCTAGGCACTATGCACCACATAGTAAGAAAACATCCTTGTCCCACACAGTTTATGATCTAAATAAACTAGACAGAACAGGATGAGAGAAGACATAGAAGGTACTTGATAAGGTCACAGCAAGTCAGTGACAGAACAGCAAAAAGAGCCCACGTTTCCCGAGTCCCAAGCCAATGGCTTATCTGCTGGACTGTGCTGCATTATTGTTATTTCTACCTACATATGTATAATATTTCAAACTGTGGAGGCTTCTTTAATCTAAATGACAAAAGCATAAAAATGTCCAGTGGTTGAAATCTGAGCCTATAAAAATTAAAACTAGAACTAAGGTGCAAGAAAGAATTACCAATCATATTAGATTAACCAAATATGTGGTAAAACCTCGCTCACTTGAAGACTTCAGACCAAGACCAGATGTCTTTCTAAAAGGTACATATGTTAATTAAGCCATTAATTATACGGCTTGATGCAGAAATTAATGGGCAAAATTCTATGGCCTGTGTTCTTCAGGTCAGATTAGATCATTATAATAGTTTCTTTTGAGCATAAAAAAATCTTGGCATCAATGCTGAATGTTGAATAGAGGTCAAAATAATAGCCATATTCTCAATCTAGTGCACTAACTCTTTTCATAACCCTGTTGCTAGTGAGAACACAAAGAGCAATCCAGTTGGAAGATTTCAGTGACTTTGAAAAAGACTTAAGGATGGCTAATCAGCTAAACATGATGTTAATACAGCTGGACACAGATTATCCAGCAAATTCTTGAAATGCATTGGACACAACTTTTTATTACAGAAGGTAGAGAAAGAGAATGGCAAAGAGGCTATTATGCATTCTGACAAACAGAGAAACTAGCTGAGAATCTGAAGGTGGAAGGCAACTTGGGTGAAGGTGACTGAGAGATGACAGAGGTCAGAAAAAAAGCAGTGGATTTCAAAAAGGCAAATTTGACCCATCTCAGGTAACTGGTAAGTAGACATGGGAAGCAAGTCTAAGGGAATTAAATTGTTCATGAGAGCTAGCAGTTTTTTAAAGGGACATTATTAAAGACACAAGAACAAACTATTCCAATATGTAGGAAAGATAAAAAGACTGGTCAGAGACCACCTAACTCAGCCAAGAGATCTTCAATAACCTGATACATTCCTCTTTACATGACTCTTACTTTTGAGTAAGTCAGATTACACAGAATGTACAAATTACACATATGTAACTATGTCTAGATAGATGTAAAACAACTCCAGCATGTAAGGATAAAATTAGCAAGACCAAGCCACAAAATGAGATTAAATGTGGCAGGGATAAAAATGGTAACAAAGCATTTTACAAATATGTGGGAAGCAGTGACATGATCAGCTGCCTAGGAGCAGCAGCAGCATAAGTTTCCCTTGGGATGGGGAAGGCAGACCAAGGGCTGGGTAGGCCCATTACCCAATGAGGAGGGAATGACAATAACAGAGAGTTGAAATATTAAATGCTTTTTTTCATATTTTCATCCAAAATGTTTGCAGGGCTCTGATGACAAATGTAGAGAACAACCATGTAAATGGGGTAGGATCGGGGGCTAAACCAGAAAAGAACAAACTGCCTTCACATCAGCAGGGCCTGATGAAATGTACCCTAGAGTGCTTAAGGAACTGACTGAAGAGCTCTTTGAGCCATCAGTAACTATTTCTGAGAACTCCTGGAGGATGGGAGAGATAGCAGAGGGCTGGAAAAGGGACAAATACAGAATCTGTAAAAAAGGGAATAAGGGCAACCCAAAGAATTATAAACCTGTCAGCTTAACTTTAGTACTAGAAAGATGCTGGAGCAAATAATCAAGGAATCAATTTGAAAACCTCTAGAACAGGGGTGAGGAACTAGATGCTGACTGTGGCTTGCCTGGATCCTGCTCATGAGGCCTGGAGCTTTCCCCTTCCCCGGCAGCATGGTGCCCTCCTCCATAGCTGGACCACCAATACTAGCTCTCTCCACTGCGGCGAGGGGGGAGCCATGGCCCAGATCCAGGCAAGTTGTGGTCAGCATCCAGTCCATGGGCTCTTCCTGGCAGGGGGCAGGAAGTGGCTCTGACCTAGGAATGGTGGCGCAGGGAAGCTCTGTCCCCTGTGCTGCCTGCAGGCTTCACCCCTAATCCCATAGCTCCAATTGGCCAGGAATCCCAACCAATGGGAGCAGCGGGGGCAGTGCCTGCCAACACATAATGTCATAGAGCTACCTGCACCCTCCCAGGAGATGTGCCTGGAAGATGCCCCTTAGTGGTCCCTGCCAGCCTTACAATTGATGGCTTGGAATATGCATTTATTAAGACGTTAAACTCCACAGTGTTCCTATACAGCTGTTCCAATGGTGAATTACTCTCGCTGTTATTGTCTGCTATCAGAAATCTCTTCCCTGTGGAGGAACCTGTAGACTGAAATCCTTAACCTTCTCTGGCAATTAGGTAAAAAGATTCAGGGTCTTAAATCTCTTGATATAACACTGATTTTTAAGACTTTGGAGGTTTTATGGTGGTTAGGTCCATAAAAGGCTATTAGCCAGGGGATAAAATGGTGTCCTTGGCCTCTGTCTGTCAGAGGCTGGAGAGGGATGGCAGGAGACAAATCGCTTGATCACTGTCTTCGGTCCACCCTCTCTGGGGCACCTGGTGCTGGCCACTGTCGGCAGACAGGATACTGGGCTAGATGGACCTTTGGTCTGGACTGTAAAAAATTGAAATGGGTACAGAAGAGAGAAAGAATATAGACCAGCTGATTCATTGCTGACAGAATGGGCTGCTCTTTAACATTACATTAATACTTTGTGCATGAAATAGTAAAGTAATCAGCCTTCCCCCCATTGAGGCAGAAAAATCTTTGTTTGATTTCCTCTCCTCTGTAATTAGGATCAAGCTCTGTCTACACCATCCCTGACAGATGTCTATCTAACCTGTTCTTAAATATCTCCAGAGAGGGAGATTCCACCACCTCCCTTGGCAATTTATTCCAATATTTGACCACCCTGACAGTTAGGAATTTTTTCCTAATGTCCAATCTAAACCTCCCCTGCTGCACTTTAAGCCCATTACTCCTTGTCCTGTCCTCAGAAACCAAGAGGAACAAATTTTCTCCTTCCTCCTTGTGACACCCTTTTAGATATTTGAAAACCGCTATCATGTCCCCCCTTAATCTTCTTTTTTCCAAACTAAACAAGCCCAGTTCATGAAGCCTGGCTTCATAGGTCATGTTCTCTAAACCTTTAATCATTCTTGTTGCTCTTCTCTGTACCCTTTCCAATTTCTCCACATCTTTCTTGAAATGTGGCGCCCAGAACTGGACACAGTACTCCAGCTGAGGCCTAACTAGTGCAGAGTAGAGCGGCAGAATGACTTCACGAGTTTTGCTTACAACACACCTGTTGATACAACCTAGAATCATATTTGCTTTTTTTGCAACAGCATCACACTGTTGACTCATATTCAACTTGTGGTCCACTATGACCCCTAGATCCCTTTCCGCCATGCTCCTTCCTAGACAGTCGCTTCCCATCTTGTATGTATGGAACTGATTGTTCCTTCCTAAGTGGAGCACTTTGCATTTCTCTTTATTAAACCTCATCCTGTTTACCTCTGACCATTTCTCTAACTTGCTAAGGTCATTTTGAATTATGTCCCTATCCTCCAAAGAAGTTGCAACCCCACCCAGTTTGGTATCATCTGCAAACTTAATAAGCGTACTCTCTATCCCAATATCTACATCATTGATGAAGATATTGAACAGTATGGGTCCCAAAACAGACCCTTGAGGAACTCCACTTGTTATCCCTTTCCAGCAGGATTTAGAACCGTTAACAACAACTCTCTGACTACGGTTATCCAGCCAATTATGCACCCACCTTATCGTGGCCCTATCTAAGTTATATTTGCCTAGTTTATCAATAAGAATATCATGCGAGACCGTATCAAATGCCTTACTAAAGTCTAGGTATATGACATCCACCGCTTCTCCCTTATCCACAAGGCTCGTTATCTTATCAAAGAAAGCTATCAGATTAGTTTGGCATGACTTGTTCTTCACAAACCCATGCTGGCTATTCCCTATCACTTTATTACCTTCCAAGTGTTTGCATATGATTTCCTTAATTACCTGCTCCATTATCTTCCCTGGGACAGACGTTAAACTGACCGGTCTGTAGTTTCCTGGGTTGTTCTTATTCCCCTTTTTATAGATGGGCACAATATTTGCCCTTTTCCAGTCTTCTGGAATTTCCCCTGTCTGCCATGATTTTTCAAAAATCATAGCTAAAGGCTCAGATAGCTCCTCTATCAGCTCCTTGAGTATCCTGGGATGCATTTCATCAGGACCTGGTGACTTGCTGACATCTAACTTTCCTAAGTGATTTTTAACTTGTTCTTTGTGTATCCTATCTTCTAAACTTACCCTCTCTCTGCTTGTATTCACTATGTTAGGCACACCTCCAGACTTCTCGGTGAAGACCGAAACAAAGAAGTCATTGAGCATCTCCGCCATTTCCAAGTTTCCTGTTACTGCTTCTCCCTCCTCACTAAGTTTATATGAGACTCTCTCATCCCGGCAACATGAATGGCAGTAAGATAAAACCATAAGGGATCCTCAAATTGCAAGTGCCATTCTACAAAGAATGGAAAGTTAGGTCTGAGCTTTATTCAGCAAGTGAATGAGGAGCCACTGAGAACAACTACCTACCCATGTTACTGAACATGCCGACTCACACAGTGAAAGACAGTGAGAGTGGCTCCCTACGGGACACACACAGTTCTGTGCCTGGGCCTGAGTCAGTCTGTCCAAGGTTATGGTACATCTGAGAAACTTAATTTTCTACTTACTTTTTTATGACATTCAAAAGTATCCGTGCCAATATGGCAGTGACAGTTAGGATAAGGAGAGCTGTGAGGCCATAAATTGTCCAATCTGTGGAAAAAGAAAAAGGCATATCTCTTTCTAGCTCATTAATTTGCTTATAGTTCTAAAATAATGTATGTGCTTTCTTTTTAAAACACTTAGGTTATGTCTACACTACCACCCTAGTTCGAACGAGGGTGGTTAATGTAGGCAACCGGAGTTTCAAATGAAGCCCGGGATTTAAACATCCCGGGCTTCATTTGCATCTTGCCGGGCGCCGTCATTTTTAAAGCCCCGGTAGTTCGGACTCCGTGCCCGCGGCTACACTACCTCGTGGAGTACCAGTAGTTCAGATTAGAGAGTCTAATCTGAACTACCTACTCCGTGCTGCGTGTAGCTGCAGGCACGGAGTCCGAACTACCGGGGCTTTAAAAATGGTGGCGCCCGGCCAGATGCAAATGAAGCCCGGGATATTTAAATCCCGGGCTTCATTTGAAACTCCGGTTGCCTACATTAACCACCCTAGTTCGAACTAGGGTGGTAGTGTAGACATACCCTTACTCCTGGCCACTCAAGTGAAAGCTTTATGTCAAGCAATGTTTAAATTAGAACAATTAAAGCTGAAAGAGATCTTTCACATTCCTATTTGGCCACTGCAAGATTGTTCACTACAAAGTTTCCAGCTTCCACACATATAGGCTACGTCTGCACTTTAAGTTCTTCTTGAAGAAAATAGGCTAATGAGGGACTAATTATCATAAGTCACAATCTCATTAGCATATTTTCTGATATTTCTTTTTGCACAAGGGGTTTTTGTGCAAGAAGAAGAAGCAGTGTGGACATTTTCTTGTGCAAAAACCCTGTTCACACTTCTTTTTGCGCAAAAACTCCCTGCACAAAAAGAAACAGCAGAAAACGATTTCCTTAAAGGCATTTTAAAGCTGTGCAATTTTTGAAAAGGCTTTGAAAAGGATGGATGCACTTTCCCAGGGAATTTTAAGAATAAACCACAAAATGCTTATGGGCATGCAAGGAGATTGGGTGGCCTCACACCAGTATTTGGCCTATTTTCTTCCCATTGTAGATTCTGCTTGGTGTTTGCTAAGTGTTGTATTGTCCTGCTCTGTGTCCTGGCATTCCTTTAGCCTGTAGATGTTTGGTCAATGCATCAGATCATTAGCATCAGATCATTCTTTCAATCCCTTTGCCATTCCAGCAGCGCAAAAGAGACTAGAGAGGCCTTGAATTGCAGCAGCTGAAAATTCTCCTATTACATAAGAGGTAAACTAGTACCTCACCAGGGCCTCCTGCCCTTTCCTACACACTTTGGCTTGAGCATGTCTTGGCAGGGGCACTATGCTCTGGCAATCTGGGCTGGTAGAGCAGCCCCAATGGTGTGTCGTGTATTTGAAAATGCAAGTTAAAAATCTCTGAGATCCTCAGCAGTTTCAAGCATCGGGAGCACAGAGGTAGAATAAAACCACTAAATTCCCCACTGTCTTGCCCCTTGTGCATTCAGCACTGCTTGGTATCACGTTTACTTGTCCAAGGCACATACCATACAATAAATGTACGTCACTAGTGCATCACACAGAAAACGACAAGACAAAACCATTTCATAAGCCTTATGTCAATGCATCTTTCCTGCTCCTTCCCTTCAGCTATTACCAGGCATGGTGTTCCGGGGATGACTTGGGCTGGTGGTGATGACATAAAGTATCTTTGAAGACTGGGCTGCATTGATATGGATATTTGCTTGTTCAGTTATCACCTCAGTAAATTTCTGATTCACTGCGGTAATGTCCTGGTGTAGTTTGTCTTTGAGAGCTGAAAACACAAAAGGTTATACAAACAAGATCTTTATTTATTTATTTGGGCATGGATTTTGACTATGCATTTTGTTACAGTAGGATTGTGATTCTGTCTGGATTATATTAGTAGAACCCCGCACAGTTACAAATGTTTACAGATACTGGGCTGCAGATACCCACAGATAGACATCAGGATCCACAAATCCTCAGGGCTCGACTCCCAAGAGCCCCTGAGGCCAAGAGAGAAGAGTGTTGTCCCATCACGCCTGCAAGCTAGCACCTCACATCAGCAGCTCGTCTTTTGTGATTCTGTCTGGATTATATTAGTAGAACCCCGCACAGTTACAAATGTTTACAGATACTGGGCTGCAGATACCCACAGATAGACATCAGGATCCACAAATCCTCAGGGCTCGACTCCCAAGAGCCCCTGAGGCCAAGAGAGAAGAGTGTTGTCCCATCACGCCTGCAAGCTAGCACCTCACATCAGCAGCTCGTCTTTGCCCCCCAGCCATGGCATCTACTGTCTGCGGGTGTACAGCCTTGCTGCTGGAGGACCTGAAGGTGGTGCAGCCACACTGCTGACATGGGGCACTGGCTTCCGGGCACCACTGGGTCACACTCCTCTCCCTTGGTCACAGTGGCTCTCAGGAGTCGAACCTTGCGGAGCTGCAGTTCCCAATATCTATCTATGGGTATCTGCATCCCAGGCAGACATTTGTAACCAGGCAGGACTCTTTTGGAAACTTAGACATTCATTTAACAGCTGATGCAGGAGAAGTTGTATCAGTCACTAGGCTACAAACAGCATGGATTTTCTGACTGTTGTTCATCAAAATTCCATTGGACCTATTCAAGGATCAAAATGTTTTCCTTCTCAAGCCTTAGGGTATGTCTACACTAGCCCCCTAGTTCGAACTAGGGAGGCTAATGTAGGCATTCAAAATTGCAAATAAAGCCCAGGATTTAAATATCCCGGGCTTTATTTGCATGTTCCTATCCGGTCGCCATTTTGAAATTCCACTAGCCCAAAGTAACTGCCCGCAGCTACACGTGGCAGTGAAATGATAATTTGAACTACATCCTTAGTTCAAATTAACTGTTACACCTCATCCCTGGAATGGTGACTGGATGGGAAGATGCAAATGAAACCCAGGATATTTAAATTCCAGGCTTGATTTGCAATTTCGAATGCCTACATTAGCCTCCCTAGTTCGAACTAGGGGGCTAGTGTAGACATACCCTTAGATAGTAAGGAGAGACATGTAGAAAGTGGAATGAGACAGATTCTGATCCAATTCCTATACTCTGCTTTGAAGACATATACGCACCATAAAAGGGCTGGAACAGCTCTGTGGCCACTTTCTCTAGAACAGGATTATGTGAAGCTGGCCTGGCATAGGTGGCCTTGCCAGTCCCCTTTGCAGCATCAACTATAGGGAGCTAGCCAAAATAGGAGAGGGAGTAGCCATAGCATGCAGTGAGATGCCTAATAGCAGTTGTAGAGGCCAGAACAGCTCCCAGCATAGACAAACTCTCCATCTGTGCCTCTCAACTACAAGTCTAGCCTTGTAATTCCAGAAGAAATTTCTCCAGTAATCACATTGAAACTCAGGAACTTGCAACAAACCAAACTCTCCAGGTGCCACCTTAACTTCTTAGCTTGTTTGAAAGAAAAAGGCCATGGCCCAGAAAAAGACTGGCTAGAGCGAAAGACTCATAGAATGATACTCTCTCTCATTTGCCCCCTATGATCATAGAATCATAGAATACTAGGACTGGAAGGGACCTTGAGAGGTCATCGAGTCCAGTCGCCTGCCCTCATGGCAGGATCAAATACTGTCTAGACCATCCCTGATAGACATTTATCTAACCTGCTCTTAAATATCTCCACAGGGGTCTTTGCCCACGAAAGCTTATGCTCCTACACTTCAGTTAGTCTATAAGGTGCCACAGGACTCCTCGTCGCTTTTGCAGATTCAGACTAACATGGCTACCCCTCTGATACTCCACAGATGGCCTCAGTGTATACTTTGGTAGGAGAATCCCATATTCAGCATCATACTCAAGGAGCTGATAGAGGAGGTATCTGAGCCTCTAGCTATCATCTTTGGAAAATCATGGGAGACGGGAGAGATTCCAGAAGACTGGAAAAGGGCAAATATAGTGCCCATTTATAAAAAGAGAAATAAGAACAACCCAGGAAACTACAGACCAGTTAAACTTCAGTGCCAGGGAAGATAATGGAGCAATTAAGGAAATCATCTATAAACACTTGGAAGGTGGCAAGGTGATAGGGAACAGCCAGCATGGATTTGTAAAGAACAAATCATGTCAAATCTGATCGCTTTCTTTGATAGGATAACGAGTCTTGTGGATAAGGGAGAAGCGGTGGATCTGGTATACCTAGACTTTAGTAAGGTGTTTGATACGGTCTCGCATGATATTCTTATCAATAAACTAGGCAAATGCAACTTAGATGGGG